AGACAGCAGTACATGTGATATGTAACCTGTAAAAAAAACTGCTTCAATTGGTACCGCCTACTGCCTGTATTTCAATCTGGAAAGAATAATTCGGGACGAGTCAAAACAACCAATCACAGCCAGAGGAGCGTCTGATGGAGTGTCAATCACAGCTCACACACGCTGAATCCATAATGTAGTTATGTGGAACATTTTTCTCACAGTATATATTATTTTCTATATTCTGGTGATTTTTAGAGAATTGAAGTAAAGAAGAATGGACCCTACTGAAATACTTGCATCTTAAATATACTGTAAACTAAGAATTTAAAAATTTTGTTTATGAATTATTCTCTTTAGTTTAAGTAAAATAAACAATGGGAAACTAATACGTTTTCACTGGATTACTGGCACTAATAGGAACAGGAACCAGTGCAATCGAATCCCATGCAAACTACTGTGATTGAATATTTAGATATAGATAAACATAGATATAGACAGATTTATTTGTCATTTTGTTTACACAAGTGTAAAACAAAAAAGAATTTCGTTTGGAAACAGCTCACTGGACAATTTCATCTTTTTTAAAAGTGCAGTCTTGAAAAATTGTAAAAAAAAAATATATATATATATATATATATATATATACACATATATAAAAACAGTAATATAGTAAATTTACAGTTCTATTTTACAGTTCTGTTCTATTATTTATTTGGTAATGGGCTAAGGATTGAAAAGATTAAAAAGCTTCATTCATTATCTTATTAGTCTTTTACAGAAATTAAGTTGAAACAAAAACGTGTTGTTAGGAATATATCATTAGATTCATCAGTCAACATTAAAATATCGATCTGTGGCCACAGTCTTATTGTACCACAGTCAAAGTAAAATTAGTAAATAAACGACTGACTCTATACCAAGCCATTTAGGAGCACGCCTGTCTATGTTAAGCCTGAAATTTCACAGAATGTATCTATTTTCCTACATAGTTTAATTTTGAAATGTTTGCCAAAAATAAATAAATAAAGGGTGTGAAAACAAAAACTTTGCCACCCATGTAAAATAAAAATGACCACAAAATATTAGTAATAGGATGCACTAATTGATTTTTGAATACTAGCATCAGTAACTAGAAGAGAAAAACTATTTATTTTTGGAGTTTTTAAATGATATTTCACCCTTTACAGCTGGAACTACACTTTAAAATTAGACACGCTGTAAATTTGTGGATTTTAACAAGATATATATATATTTTTTACCTTTATATGGGATTGTGTGCTTTATTTGGCTAATATTTTTTTCCTGATTCTGAGTCTGTGCATGTTTTAGTAATTGGATTTTCTCTTCAGAAACCTGTTTTCTCGAATAATGTGTGAGAGAAGAAAGAATAAAGTTAAATATTTTTGTCTTGAGTAAATTTGTCAATTGATCCAATACTTTTATTTGTGTTGTTTTGGTTTTTGTATAAGTATTTTCCCTTCGCTGACAAGCACTTCACATGTAAACCACATCAGGCTCCTTCCTTAATGGCACAACATGCTGTAGCTTTTACCTTTTTGTCTCCAAAAAAATTATCTTTAGGATGTCACAAACATGAAGATGAAGGTTTCTTCGGAAATATGTATTATTATTTTATTATTTTCATAAGCATCAGTTTCCCTTAAACCGTGGGGCAGTGAGCAGCACTGCAGCCTTGTAGCAAAAAGGTTTGGGGTTTAATTCCCGACCCGGGCTCGTTCTGCATGGAGGAATAAGTGTGACGGAAAATGGATGGAGGATTTTTCCTTTACAACTTTCCTGCCATTCTCTAAACTATCTTCCTTTAAAGCTTCTTCATCTACTAAAAATACAGTTTAAGAACCTCCACCATTTCCTATTGTTTTCCTAGCATTAATTAACTAAATTTAATTGCCAGATTTATTCATTTATAATGATATGATGAATACTGTCTGGAAATATCTGGAAACCAGGTCATTCTTTTCACACAGCTTATCCTTGGTCAGCCATTTTGAACCTAATCTTCAGTTTTAAAACAGGTGCAAACATGTTTGTATAAGAGGAGCAGATCTGCAGAAGAAGTGCAAAAGGATTTGCGTTTGCTCTTCAGCAGACAGCATATGCAAACCATTTTTAGTGTTTGCATTCATCAATATGCAGATCATATATAAAGTGTCAATGTAAAATTTGACCACATGCAAAGTGATTTTCCAAATGCAATGGTAGCATCAGTTTTGGTGTCTTTTTGGTACCTCTAAGAGTCAGATGCAGAAATATCAGTAGTCAGGGATGAGTTAAGAGTTTTAGTTTAAGAGGTGCTTTGCACCAGAGGTGGACTGTAGACAGACTTTGTATAAAACTGATGTAATGTCTTGTAATCCGGTGCTTTATGTATATGATGCATATAAAGAACGCCTAAGCAATGCCCCTATCTTACACCTAAGTGTTGATTCAGCTCAAGTTGTAATTATTCCTCAGGTTGTAACCACATAGTCCTGTGTATTTTGCATTTTGACATAGGTGGTGTTTTTTTTATTGTTATTGCCATGAGGCTGCTGCTCTCTCTCACTCTGCCCCAATCATGATGATCTACTAATGTGTAATCTTCCTTCCCTTTCAACGCAGTAAACTGAAACACACATTTTGGAAACAAAATTACTTATATAAAACAAATAAATATCACATCTATTCACATCAATGTTCCAGTTTTACACCAATTTCCTATTGAAATGATCTATTTTCAAAATCAAAAGGGGGTATTGACCCACAGACTGCCACTCTGAGTCTCTGAGCAAAACCCTTAAAAACCCGATTGCTCCCCGGGCGCCCCACGATGGCAGCCGACTGCTCCCCAAGTGGATGGGTTAAATACAGAGGTAAATCTCTACAATGTGAAATTAATTAAATTCCATTATCAATTATTATTATTTTGGCACCTTTTAATAAGTTTCAGTAAAAGTTAATGCCTAGGTTAAATCCAAATGATCCATTACAGAAATTCTCTTTGAATATGATCTGATCTACACCACCAAAATTCAGTCCTGTTACCTGGATGCTTCGCCACCTTCTCGACTACTCCGCCCAACTGAAGTTGCTTCATTTTTCCCTTTTTCTGGTTACAACCTAACAACACAATAAACCTGGCAAACATGATCATTTCTTTTTTATAGAACACAGAAAAAAGGTTGTGTCACTTCAGTTATAGTCATAATCCATACTGTGACACAAAAAAACAGAGGAGACCTGCACCACTGACTCCACAGTTTGATACATTCTTGGCCTTTGGCCTATCAAACATAAAGATATAAAATTGTATCTTTTTGATAAGAATGAACAAATGGTGCACAACCATGAAGTGGAATGAAATTTATTGAATATTTCAAGCTATTTTTAACAAATAAAAAACTGGGAGAGTTTAATCGGCCCCTTTACCTTCAGTTCAGCAAATTCTCTCCAGAAGTTCAGTGAGGGTCTCTGAATGCTCCAATGTTGACCTAAAAGACTGATAATAGTAATAATGATAATTATAATAGTAATAATATATTTTATGTGTAATGCACTTTAAATTTAAGAATAACCAAAGTAGTAATAAATTCATCATAAAAAGGTTAAAGCAAAAAATCAAAAAATAAACATCATTGTAAAGTACATATGAATAAATAAGTCGGTGGCATAATTATAAAAGTTGAACAGTCAATGATAAATAGAATCCACCTGTGTGTAAACAAATCTCTGTGTAAATGGACCTGCTCTGTGATCATCTCAGAGGTCTGTTTAAAGCGAGTATCATGAAGAACGAGGAACACACCAGGCATGTCCGAGATACTGTTGTGGAGAATTTTAAAGCTGGATTTGGATACAAAAGGTTTAAACATCCCAAGGAGAACCGTGCAAGCGATAATATTGAAATGGAAGGAGTATCAGACCACTGCAAATCTACGAAAACTCAGCCGTGTCTTTAAACTTTTAGCTCAAACAAGGAGAAGACTGATCAGAGATGCAGCAAAGAGACCCATGATCACTCTGGATGAAGTGCAGAGATCTACAGCTGATGTGGGAGACTCTATCCATAGGAGAACAGTCGGTCATATGCTGCATGCATCTGGCCTTTACGGAAGAAAGACATTTCCATAAAAAGTATTTTTTAAAGTTTGCCCCAAGCCACCAGAGAGACACAGAGCAAACTGGAAGAAGGTGCTCTGGTCAGATGAAACAAAAATCCAATTTTCTGGCAACCATGCAATGTTTTAGATTCGTTCTGCAGGGCAAACCCTTTTTTTCATTCCACACTACTTTTTAATTTGGAAGAGGATTAGGGCCACTGAAAAAAATGTAAAAAAGTTTACTAATTTTTGAATATTATTTCAGTTTAATATGGGAAAAACTCAGAAATCTGATTTTAATCTCATAATTCTGACATTTTTCTCAGAATTCTGACTCAGAATTTTGGATCTTAAGTGCCCTTTAAGATCTTTAATCCTAAATTGCACCATGAAGGTAGACATGTGGGAGCACTCAGCTTCACTAACAAAGATGTGAGTTGTTTCAGAGGCCCAGTAACACATTGGGGGAAAATGATGGAATAAGGCGACTTCTTACGTGCCCGGTGATGCTATTTCATTATTGGAAGAGTAGAAGGTGATTAAAACAAGAGAGCTCATTTAGTCTCTAGATGTGTCTACAGCTTGTTGCTAACATATTTGTTAGTTGTTAGAGAAAAAAAATCAGAATTCTTCGATTAAATTTAGAATTCTGAGAAAAAATAATTCCTAGATTAAAGTCAGAATTCTGAGATTAAAGTCAGAATTCTGAGAAAAAAGTCAGAATTCTGAGTTTTTCCCATATTAAACTGAAATAATATTCAAAAATTAGTAAACTTTTTTACATTTTTTCAGTGGCCCTGCCTAATCCCCTTCCAAATTAAAAAGAGATTAAATTCTGAGAAAATTTAGGCATGACAGAAGCTGTCGTTCATACTTATCACAGCAGGGGGCGATAGTCCACGTCTAGGGGCTTTGTGATACGCCAATCAACTCAAAGAAAAAGAGACGAAGAGTGTGGCTGAAAAGTGAGACAAGCCACACGATTAGCAGGAGAATTTCATGCCAGTGGGAAGATATTTATCCACTTGTTTGATCACAGAAGATGTCTTCACTCCTCAAGGTGGACAGGGAAATTAAAACCAAGGTGAGAGCAGAGGCCATTGGGAGCTCAGTCAACGGCGCGAGGTGTTAACAGTCTTCGATAGCATCTTGCTAGCCGCGCTTGGTTCGTAATGTGTGTTTGACTGATAGCCGTTAACAGTGACTGACCGGCCGGTTTCCCGCTCGCTCTTATCAACCGTTCAAAGAATTGCCGGTTTACATTGATGGTGGTATTACGGAGAAATGAGATGTAGGTTTTTGGTAGAAGGCTTCTGTCTGGGTTAGAAGCAGCTCGGGGAGCACATGCGGCCATGGAGGCCTCGGTTTGGCTAATCGGACGAGTCATAGTTATACCGGCTTTTGACTTTATTTACTGCAGATGTTTTCACAGAACCGACATTATAACACTGATGCTTCTTTCATTCAGCACACATAGCAAGGGAAGCGGAACATTTCTTTTCATTAAATAAATTTAAGTGTAATTCTGTAATTTAAATTCAGTAAGAAAACTCCTAAAATCAGCTTTTTGTAACACATATTTTAGTTTTATAAATCTATGTATATATAAATTAGGTTGTTTAATAGAGAGGTGCCAAGGCTGTTTTTCATCAGTTTAATTGAACCGATGTGTTATTTAGATGCATGTATTAAAACAATAACTTACAATAATAGAAAATCCCTTGATTGTTCCACAATGGGGGAATTCTAGTGTTTACAGCAGCAAAAAGATTATAGAAAGAAAATGCTCACAAGTATGGACTTTAGAAAAATGTATAAGAATAGCATAATAGTGAAGATTTAAAAGATAAACAATAAAATACTTTGCTGTTATAAAAAAGCATCTTCAGGTTTTGGGAATAAAAAAAAATAGATGCTTGATTAACTTTATTGACTTGGTGGTTTATATAATTCTGCTGAACTGAGGAAAAAGAAAAATGTACTTTGCACCAAATAACAGTAGATCATTTCCGTAAGATCCTTTCCAAAAGTAACAGTATCTCAATGTCTTGGAGAACTAATTTCCAATTGTGTGTTAAATTTAGGATGTTAAAATTTGTCGGATTAATCGTGATAATTTAAATGATCAACTAATCTAGTTAGCGATTAATTAACTGGAGTGTAGAGATTGTAAAATATGCCTTTAGCTGAAAGAGTGACCCATTTAGAGCAGGAATTATATCAAGATATATAAATATTTTGCATTTAAGGGGGTAAAAAAGCTTCATCTGTGAACATGCTCTATCAAGTGGTAAAGTTTTACCTTGACCTGGTTTAATTTAATAAAAAACATTCTTTAAGGAACCTTTGGCTATCCGATTATTATTTGATACACCATAAAAAATAATCTACAGATTAATCAATTTGCAAAATAATCTTTAGCTGCAGCTGTAATTAAATTATTTCATTTGGACTAATCAATATTAAAACTTAGACAGGAAGAGAAGTCTGCATCTTATAGCTCTACAGTAAAACTGTTAAACCACCAAATCTTGCAACGTATTAAAAGCTTATTTGTGTTAAAATGTAAACTGTGTTTAGGACATTGCATCAGTGATGAGTATTATTCCAAAGGTGCCTGTTTATTACCTGTGCAGTTGGTAGATTCTCGCCCTTAGCACTAATGTTTCCATTCAAATGACTTTGCATCATGAAGAGATTAAAATATGCACCAAATATTTATTTATAGCCCCAGATATATTTTTTGGGGGGATAAATTTACCCTTGTTTATGTCTTTATTAAATGTTATTTCATTCCAAATCCTCAAATTGTTAATGTTGGACAAAAGCAGGAATATCTTTCATTTTTTTTAGCCTCCTGATCAGAGGCCATCTTGGGGAAAATTTGGCAAATGTAATTAATACTAATTAATCTTTTCAGGTTTATTTCTTTTTTTGTGTAATTACCATTTCCTTGGAGAATTGTCCCAAAGTTAGAAAACAGACATATGTTGGATATTTTGAAGTAAAAGCTAGGTGTACAGCAGTTATTCAGAAATGTGCCACATTTTCTGTATAAAATGATAATAATTACAATACAGTCTCTATAAAGAAGTTTGGACATTAATTTGGTCTTTTAGTTTGAACAGAAATGATCTGTTCCAATAAAAACTTAAAGAGCAGTTTAATATAAACCCAATTACTAGCCTTCAAACACACAATTCCAGTATAAAGGAATGTTTTTGCGATCAGGTAAAGAAATAAAACATTACACCTTTCAACTGGGAAAACTTCTTGTTCTAATTGAACGAAATATTTTTATTGTTTGCAGGTTGATGCTTTCAGGGAACGTATCACAGCAGAAGTAAGTATTACATTTCTCACAAGGAAAAGTTCTTCATACACTTTTCAAATTATTCTCCTTAAAAAAATGTGCTTCTATTCTTTCAGGCAGAGGATTTAGTGGCAACCTTTTTCCCCAAAAAGTTACTGGAACTTGATCACTTCCTCAAGGTGAGTTGAAGACTCGTTTGTAGATTATTCCAGAATGTTTCTCTCACTCCTAGTAACAACTTACAAGTCTAATCTTTGTCTTATCTCAGCCTGCTGCTAGGTTATTTTATTGTTTCACCTTAGAGATGATGGTAATCCTGTTTAATAAAACATTTTTTTTAGGACCCCTGCATAAACATTGTTGATCTGAAAGAGATTCACTCAGAGATCAACCTCACCGTCCCGGACCCCATCTTGCTTTCAAACCTCCATGACGGATTGGAAGGGGTGAGTCGCAACCTTCCGGTTCCTCGGGACGACTTTTACTCTGAGCAGTTTTTAAATCAGCTCTGTCTGTTACAGCAAAATGCTAAGAAGAGAAAGTTGGAAGATGGAAGTGGAGAAGACAAAGGTCAGTTCTTTATCAATTGGTCAACATTTATCCATCTGGTCTTTATGTTCAACATCTGATTCTTCCGTTTCCTCTTCCAGTCACCGGCACTAAGGTCTTCGTCATGCCGGGTGGGATGATGAAGTGTAATGAGAACCTTGTTGAGCTCATTGAAAAGGTCAAGCCAGAGATCAGGACGCTCATAGAGAAATGCAACACAGTAAGTCTGTAAAGTGTCCTCCCCCCGATATTTCTTCACCAATATGTCAATAAAATGAGACGATGGGTATTAAATCCATAATTTTTTTATTTTATTATTTTTTATTTTTTTATAAGATTACAGGTAAATTACTGTAGTGTCACTTCATTTTTAAGCTATGTTTTTTATAAAGGAGCTCTATAAGGTATTTTTCTTTTTGATTAGATTATATTAATAACCCTCTAATCACAGTTGACCCTAAAACTAATTGATTATTGTCACTTTTAACATTGTGTTAAAAAAAATTTGATTTATCAATATATATAAAATCCAAAATATTAATTCATATAACCAAAGTGCATTTACCACAGTGTTGTACACTTTCCCCATCAACTGATATTATTATATCCATTTTAGATAATTAAGGCCAAAAAAGGAATATCGGATTTTATCGACTTGCATCTAAAATCTCTGATATTTTCTGGGTTAGGGTTTTCTGATAGAAACTCTGCTCTGTTAAAAATTTCTGAAACTTGTTTAATTTGACATGAATCAGCTACTTTAACAGCTTTTGTTGACTGTTATTTCCCTGATTTTAGTAATATTACTGGATCAAGCCTTTAATGTCATGAAGTCTAAAATAAGTAACAAAAGCTGATATGATTGATGCCAATTTCGTATCAGGTCCATATTTGTATCAGCCAATTTTAAAAGCTGCAATATCCGAATTATATCAGAAATGAAAAGGTTGAATCGAGACACCCCGACTATTAATGTGTTGTATAACTACAGTCATTTAAATCAGATAAAAACTAAAACGATGTTTATAATGCCAGAAGTTTGAGATCACACAGTAAATAATCTGTTCTAAATTTCAAGAATCAACAGCGGATTGAATAATGATACTGAAATTGATATCCAGCCTTTATCAGTACAGCAAAGCGGCTCTGGGAAGGATATTCGAAGCTGTAAACATTATTTCATTTGATCAGAAAATTCTTCTGGCCAGTTTTATTCGAACTGTTTGATTTAGCATTTCTCATCAATAGTGGTGCTGAAGGACCCCAAGTCTGAGTAAAATTATTAATGATCACCTCTATTTTTTTTTACATCTGTGATATGGGGAATAAAACCTTAAGGTGAATGAAGATGATCAGGTCGTAAAATGTCTGTAGAGATTACATCAGTTTGAACTGAACGAGGCAGACCGCCTGTGATTCCCCGCTGCTGAGTCTGTGTGGTTCCCACCTGCTGATGGGAGTGTCACAAGTCAGACAGGAAGAGAGATGCAAAGTAAAATACTTCCACTTTGAGGAAAATACTAAGTGAAAGAATAGCGTGACAAACCTGGTTTGTCAAGCAGACATTTTGACAAACAAAATCAATGAAGCATTTCAATAAACAGTGTTCTTAGTCATGGTAGGAGCTCAGGAGAAAAGCAAACAAAGTACAACAGTCTATTTTTTTTTTTTTAGCTTGACTGCTTTGTTTATGCTTGCAGAATTCTATACATACCCTAAAGTGGGGTTGGGAATTGATAAGATTTTCACGATTCCGATTTTCTTATTGATTCTGTGAAACGATTCGATTCCTTATTGATACTGTTGAATGAAAAAGCATTACTGCACAATTTCAGGAGTTAAACTCATCTCCCCCTGATTTCAATAAACGAGTGTCACATTTCTCTCGCTCCCTGAACTGCGGAGCAACTTGGTAGCATGTTTCGTTACATCCATTGCAATAGCTCGAATCATGTAAGAATTCCAGCTACCAGTAGTAGTGAAGTGAAGGGCTGGATTAACGAGGAAGGCACACTCCCTTTATATCCCCAAAGAAAGGTAGGAAATTGGTTTATTTCCAGAAATGCACAGATAAGCACAGCCAGTGATATAAAACTAGCTACTTACCACCAGAGATTTCATGCTGATCGTAACTTTAGCTTCTGTCCGGAAGCATCAAAAACACGACATTCTTTAAAATGTATGCCATGCTGTGTGCGCAGGTGTTTCTGCATGATGGATGTATTTCCTCCCACGGATGTAATTGCCACTTTGCGATGATTGCAAAGCTCCTTGTTGCCACCTTTCTCTTCCTTAAAATTAAGCCAAGCTTTCGATCGCTTTACCCGATGGGATGCCATTTTTTTTGTTTTGCTTTTCTAGCCTTACGCCTGGTCACATTATACTTGCTTACTGAATGGCGTGTGCGTAACTTGCGTAAAAAACGTGACGCAAGTCGTGCTGCCTAGCTAGGCTCTGGTGCTGCCTGGAATCGATAAGCGAATCGTTAAGCGAGCTGCCAAACGGGGCAATGGAATCGGAACACAGAACCGGTTCTGAACAGGAACCGGTTTTCGATTCCCATCCTTACCCTTAAGCCATAACTTGATCTCGTTAGCGACCCATCGAGGGACCCTACATGCAAACGGAAGGAACAGGTACAGCCCGATTTTAGTCAGGAATAACGAGTCAAACAATTTAGAAGCAATCAAATAGATAACATCTGCTCTTAGAGGATTGAGCCTTAGCAGATTGACTAATGCTCTGTTTATGTCAGCCTGGCTGGCCAGCCCACCACCATGCAGCCATTATATCCGAAAAAAGTTAGGGTTTGGGTGTTAAAGATGGGATGTAAGAGCTGTGGTCTGGCCTTAACTCCATAACTTCAAAGGAAGAGTGAAATAATTAGATTTTGACAAAAATGCGTTACACATTAAAAAAATAAACCTATGGACAATGTATTTCATTTATAGTAGTAATAAAAGTGTAATTTATGAATAAACGGAAACAACACCATGGAACTCTGCTGATTTTCTCTGCATTACCCATAAAAAATCAGCAGGTGGTGCTAGCACTACTTCAGCCAAGGTTTTGGCCTGATGTTGACTTATTCCTGCTTTCCTATTCAGATATCTGTTTAATAAACACCTTATTCCTAAAAAAAAAATTTAATCAGATTTGATTGAACTGAAAATGTTAACTAGCCCCCCCATCTCAATGTTTTTCTGTTTTTGTTAATTGTTTTTTTTTTTATCTGTCTCGATATGAAGGTGAAAATGTGGGTTCAGCTCCTCATTCCCAGGATAGAGGATGGAAACAACTTTGGGGTTTCCATCCAGGAGGAGACGGTTGCTGAACTGAGAACAGTTGAAGGAGAGGCGGCCTCTTATCTCGACCAGATATCGAGGTCAGCATTGCTTCCAAACGCTGCTTAGAAAAACCATCCAGAGAGTTTTTAACATCCAAATGTCGTATTTTATCTTTATCTCTAGATATTACATCACAAGAGCAAAGCTGGTTTCTAAAATAGCCAAATATCCTCACGTGGTAAGTAAAGAACTTTTGAATGAACATTTTATTGTTTCCTCATCATATGTTAGACTGTCGGTCTATTCAAAGGGAACAAGCACAGGAAATAAGATTACGCTAATTTGATTTTTAATAGCGTAAACGAAAAGTATTTCTTTGATTCTACATTCTAATTGGGAAGCATAGTGGTGGCCGTATCATGCTCTTTAGGTGATTTAGGTGCATGAGAGATTAAAGCCCTGTATAAAATGGATCAGAAAAGGATATATGGAAATATTGAATGCAGATCTAGTGGCATTAGTTTACACACTTGTGCTTATCAAATGTGTTTTTCTTCTCAATCAGGAGGACTATCGGCGCACAGTCACAGAAATTGATGAGAAGGAGTACATCAGTCTGAAGATCATAGTGTCAGAGCTCCGAAATCAATACGTATGTTTTTTGTCATATCGGCACCCATTAATATGTGATTCCTGCTTCTTTAACCTGACAGAAATGTTGTCTGCTTCCTCTACAGGTAACGTTACACGACATGATCCTAAAGAACATAGAGAAAATCAAGAGGCCTCGAAGCAGTAACGCTGACGCATTGTACTGATCATCGAGCCAAATCAGCTGCACCCCTGGTTCCCCTTTGGTATCTGTTCGTCTGCAGGACTACAGCGACACATTCTTCAACTTCAATACAATCAACCCAGCCCTCCATGAATTCATAGCTACATAAATGGACTTAAGCTCTTATTATTATTTTTTCTTTCATTGTAAGTTGTTTTTTGCTTGTTTTAAACCCTTAAAAAAAAATCCCTCAGTAAATGAGGAAACGAATCGTATAGCGATGTGTGTTTTTCAATTTTAATTAAACATTTTGTCCTCGGATGCTTGTGACATTTCCTTTTTTTGCAGCTGGAGTACACAGCAGTGCTTTTCTGCTTGTTTTTATTTTTTCATCCTCATTTAAAGGTCGCTCATTTATAGGAAACACCATTTTCTTGCTCTGAATGTTATACATTATATCTTGTAATTGTGACAGGATAATTAGAAAATGAGTTCTAGTTTAATGGGCTTCATTTTTTTTTTTCAGTGAAAATGCATAAGTGGTCAGAGCGTCTCAAATGTTGGGGCATTGATGCTATTAAATAAAATGCGTTTTGATAAAATCTTTGTGAAATCATTTTAATTTGGGGGAATATAACCACTGATCTCTATTTATTCACTGGATTGCTGAAAAAAACTGTAGTCATGTGCCGACATCTTGGTAATGTAATTACCATAACAACTAATCAATACATGTATATTGCTTGTACACATCAGTTTGTATGCATGTTTAATATTCCTAATATCTGACTACATCATTATGCTCCATTTCAAACTAATTTTGTTGTGATGGATTTGTAAAATGTTACATTTCATGATTTATAGACTTCATTCTGAATATGTGATGTGCCCATTTTTTTTTACCTTAAATGAGAGTAATCTGCTGCTATGAAACGGCAAGTGTGTGTTAAAGTGATGCCTTTATCTTTAAAAAGTCTTAAGCCCACCTGAAAATGAGAAAATCATAGTTTTTCTATGCTGTAGCGCATGTATTGTTTACATTCTGACCCGTCTAAATAGGGAGTACCAATATGGCGGCTTGTGACTTCACAGCAACGTGTACTACAACTGCCTTTCAGCAATCCAGTGACTAGAGATCAGTGAGTAAAACAGGGTAGCTTTTAGTGTAGCTGATTTTTTCTGCACTTTAAAAATTCCAGTGAGATTTTATTTTAAGTTAAATAATTTTTTAGAATGCAGACTGACTCATGTTGCCCTGTAGGTGTCACTAAATAGATGTAAATGCATCCAATAATGAAACAGAAAATATTGGACTTTTATTTTTACTGTACGAATTGTAAACATGCCAGAAGGCTTTTTATCTAAACTTGCAGTCTACTTATTGAAAACTTGCATATTTAAAACCTGATGGCTCAAAAATCCTTAATTTTGTATTCTGGTTCATCTGACTAAATTAAAATACCTATATTTTTGTCCAAGTTTGAAAACTGAAACTTGCACATGAAGTCAATTCATTATTCACAGAGTGATGTGTTAAATTGGTTTTACTTTTTTATTTAATAGAAATCTATTAAAGAGTCTGGAAAGCAGCTCCATATAGAAATAGAAAAAGATATTCAAAACAAGTAGAGTAGAATACAATTTTTTTATACAAATAAATATGAACACCAGTGATGCAACATTTTAGAGGTAAATGTAACAGATTTTCTCAGGACAAACCAGGGACTCTGACTGAGTTAGGACAGCTAAGAGCGCTTCACGTGAACGTATAACTAAAATTCTGTATGGCTGCAGAGCAGCAGCAGGCACCACTGTTCACATGCATGTCATTTACTGTGGGACATTCAGTACTATTCACTGTAGGAAACAGTCTCTGCAGGGTGCTGTTTTTGTTCTTGCACCTCAAAGTGTGTAGCATACAACGAAGAACAAAAAGCTCTGAAGAGCATGGTTTTAACATGAACAGAGCACTTTAGCCTGTATGAATAGTTAACTATAAACTTGTTTAGGTGTAAACTTAACACATCTGCATATCCCTATCAACTCAGGTATGATTTGTAACAAAATGTCCTAGATACAGTTGCTGGAAGAGCCTGACCACATAAATCAGAAAATACATTTTCATTTGTCATGGTTTTTTCAATCATGATGTAAATGTTGGCAGCATTGAACTTGATGTAAAATTCATGACCATACCTGGAACAGATATTCAGGAGCTGCGCAACAGAGGAGCAAAATGAGAAACCTCACTTAACCTGCATGGTCGGACAGGGGTGTAAGTATCCCAACTAACTATCCAGGTACATCTTGCCCTAATAATTTCTTAAATAACTTGCAATGATTGATTCGATCAAAGGCTTTGGAAACATCCAGAAAACACAGAAAAACTGTAGAACTCTGTGATCTTTGTCAAGAATTTCCTTCAGTTTCAATTAAATTCAATTAGTTTATTTCTATAGCAGCAATTCACAACACACGTCATCTCAAATCTCTTTACAGTTCACCAGATCATCCAGTCAAATTGATTCGAAGTTTTCTATCTAAGGAAAACCAGTTGATTGCATCGACTCACGGACTTGAAGGCAATCCCTCACACTAGGCATGCTTGTAGCGACAGTGGAGAGGAAAAACTTCCTTTTAACAGAATGAAACCTCCAGCAGAACCAGGCTCAGAGTGAGCCGTCATCTGCCGAGGCCGAATGGGATTCAAGGAGTTACAAGCAGAGATACCAAAAGAAACTGTAAACACACAGCCAGGGAGACGAGCTCCGAGCCAGCTCCCATGTCAGATGATGAAGAGAGCAAATCCAGCCAGTCATAGTCAGAGAAACAAGACTACACTGAATAACAGGCCCATGTCAAACATCTATAAACAAATTATTTCTCTTCGTTGCAAATATACAAACATCAGCACCACATTCCTGGAGGTTTAGGAATTATTGCTAGATTACAGTGAATAACAGGTCATCAAATGTTGCCGAATTATATTCAATCTGCATATGAACAATGAAGGCATCAGATACAGACAGAGAGTGGTCAAGCATATGCATAACTTTCACTAGGGAAAAGCACCTGCCTGGATGCTTAGAGTAAATTATAATGGAAAATGAAGTTTCTAAGTAAATCAAAAGCATCCCGTCAGTGATAAACAATTTTTAATTGAGACTTTAAGTATGTCCTTGTACTGTGCAGTGTATGGACTGAACACTTGGTTAAGGCTCCTCTGCTGTGATGATTCCATCTGTAAAGCAGTTTAGCACCAAGCTGTGGTTATGAGGTGTTCAGGAAGCCCAGACTGCTTTAAAAGCAGATTTCAGCTTATCTTCGCTTTTGCTTCCAGTGCCTCTGCTTTCCTCTCAACGACTCTGCATGGATTCTCCTCAGGCTGTAGCCCTGTGGTACGATCAAGCAAGGTGATACCATGTGGAGTGTGTTATGCTCAGTCCTACTGGAAATAAAAAAATGCATCCTCATGGTGCATAAATGTCACTAAAACCGTCTGGTATTCAGCTGCTCTGACTCTGTTATTGATTCTCCTTGCTTTGACACTTCACATCACATCTCCATAGCTTGTTCTGTTTGGTGACTCTTGAAGATTTGCTCTCCAAACTCTGAAGCTCCTTTAAATCCTTAAATGGGATTTGCATCACAATCCGCCATTACTGCAGTATTTTCCAACCACATTTTTTCCTTCCTTTTATCTTCTTGCTGCTTAACCTCTTTCTCCTGCACCGTGGAAAGGTCTGAATTCCACCCACATTGGGTACTGTGAAAGTAGGTTAAAGCACATGGAAGTAACCTGTGCATGCATGGGGATGGACATGCAAAATGCCATGCAACTGCACCGCTTTGCAGCCATAATTCTGGAAACATTCAGTCCAAATTTCACTCTGAGGCACACTGCTGTGAATTTGCTCACCAGCTAGAGCTCATGTTTGTTTTCTGTTTTTTTTTTTCGTTTCTTTGAACTGTAGAGATAAGATAGACCTGGACAGTGTAACAGAAAGAAAAAAAGCTCATCAAGTTGACTGATACAAATGTAAATCGATGCAAACAGTTGCCCAATGTCCCTGACGCAGTTGTGATGTGTGTCCTTGTTGATCCCCCCCCCCAACCGCCACCAAGCTCACATGTTAAGTGACCTCTGAATGTAGAGTTCTAACATGCAGCTTTGAGATCAGCACCGGAAATAACAGGAAGAGATAAAGAGCAGATATGATGTTCCTGTAAAAAAAAAAAAAAAGGGATTTGGTGTTTTTCTCCGTTTATGATCCCATTATTCACAAAGCTCAGGTCAGCATACTGCTTTGTGTCACATGCAGAGATGGGAAGTAACGAAGTACAAATACTTTGTTACTGTACTCAAGTAGATTTTTCTGATATTTTTACTTTACTTTACTACTTATTTTTATGGCGACTTTTTACTTCTACTCCTTACATTTTTACACAAATATCTGTACTTTCTACTCCTTACATTTTAAAAACTTGACTCGTTACTTTAGTTTTGAATCATTTCAATGGAGTTACCGTTATTATTTTTCACGTCATCAATACCAAATTCAATCTAATTGGATGGGAATCTACGTTGCATTTGACGCACCACTACAAGATGAATCGACAGATTCGGCGGTATTCATTCGCAGCAAATCATTGCAGCTTGGTGGCGGTGGCGTTAGCATAGTAGCATGGACGACGAGATGATTGAAAATGAACACAACGGAGATCTAGTCCTATTGGCAGACATCCATTTAAAATGTAGGCAACGGCATGAAAAAAGTGGTTTCTACTTTTACTTTTATACCTTAAGTAAATTTACAAGCCTGTACTTTGTTACTTTTACTCGAGTGAAGAAGTTTAATCAGTACTTCCACTTTTATCAGAGTATTTTTTAACACAAGTATCTGTACTTTTACTCAAGTACGGAAAGTGAGTACTTTTGCCATCTCTGGTCACATGAGACATAAAAACATTGAAAAAAGCCTTGCTTTTAAAATCCACAGTTGAAGTGCTGTCATTTTCAGCATCATGGCATATTAATTGCAGGTATTTTATTACTAGTTTGAATGGTTTGTTCCACGGTTGGAAAGATGAATCCTGCATCAATTTGCATGCTTATTGGAAATAGTAGAGTTTAGTTAAAGTGACACATTTTTTTTTATAACTACTCTTTAAATATCAACTTCTAAATTTGAATCCAGCCCAAATCAGCACCTTTCCAGCAGCTTAAATGTCACCTACTAAATTGTTTACGTGTTTTGATCCTTCGCCTGTTTGGGAACTTTTTTGTGGCATTTAAAACATTCTAACTTGTTCCCTGATTGGGTTGTGCCTCATCTCTATGGTTGTGCTTCATCAAGAAAATGTTCTCACACAAAAATAAATCACTTTAAAATGCTTGCTAAATGGCATTCCTTTAGCAGCGGCCAAAATTCAATTCTATGTCAGGAAGTCCAACTAATTTAAATGAACCGTATCATTTTTGCAGAGAGTAGCAGTCATATAAATACCTACAAGTATACCAAAGTTTTTGTCATTCAATTCAATTAAATTCAGTTTATTTCTATAGCGCCAATTTACATCACATCATCTCAAGAAACTTTACAGTTCACCAGATCATCCAGTCAAATTGATTTAAAGTTTTCTATCTAAGGAAAACCAGTTGATTGCATCGACTCATTGACTCGAAGGCAAACCCTCAACACTAAGCATGCTTGTAGCGACAGTGGAGAGGAAAAACTCCCTTTTAACAGGAAGAAACCTCCAGCAGAACCGGGCTCAGTGTGAGCAGCCATCTGCCAAGGCCGACTGAGGTTCAAGGAGACAGAAGCAGACATATAGAAAGAAGCAGAGATACAAAAGGCAACTGTAAAAGGCCTGGAAACACACAGCCAGACGAGGTGAAGCTACTATGAGAAAAAGTAGGGAGAGCATAACGTTACAGACTGAACTAACAGATTTTGCAGAGTGGGAGAATAGAGACAGAAAGAAGCAGAATGATGAAAATGGGGTCCCTATGTCTTCCAGAAGTCTAAGCCTATAGCAGCATAACTATAACGATAGCTCAGGACTGCATGTTTGTTTGTCCGAAACTTGCCGAGAGACAGTTTGCCAAGTATCAATAACGATATGCATATTGTCTGAGCCTGCAATTTGCATCAGAATGGAAAATAGAGAAGAATTACATAGAACTAAAACTTATCCATTCCTTATGTTGAAAATTTTTTTAAAGTTACTTTGCTTCATTGTCATACCACTCTGAAGGAAGGGTAGTTTAATGCACCATTATAGGAAAAACAACTCTAATTAATATAAGATTCATGCCATTACATGCCATAAAGGGATTTCTGAAAGATTCCACCCAAACTAAACCTTAAAACGTGCACAGGAGAGATATTTGCATTTAAGTCATTCAGGAACATTTAGAACAGGGGCCCTCAACCTGTGGCGCCGGATCCATAAGTGGCTTTTCCTCTCTTTTGCTAAAAATAATAAAAATTAATCTAATTCTTTCAAATCATTTAATTTGATTGCATTTTTTGCACTTTTAAAGTAGGAACGATTCTGGGGTTTTTTTACATTATTTTTCACAAGTCTCAGCAAACCATTTAAAATGTACTTTTAGTCTTTTTGCAGGTTTTTGTTTTCTTTTGAGACCTAAAATGTGAAAAGGTACAATGATTATTTAAAAAACGACTGAGGTACATATTCATCAAATGCAAGTGATCTTTTTTATTCAAAAAAAAGTCATGTAATGCTTTTGACTCTAAATGTTTCTTTGGATTGTAAAGGTTGCAGACCCCTGAGTTAGAAGAACAGGGCAGTAATAGTTTATAAAGTTAAAGGATTTGTGTCAATATTAAGGAATTAAATGTAGGCCAAATCTAACATAAGTTATTAGTTTCGGTCATATCTTGGATGCACTTTGCACTAATGTGTTCCCTTTATTCAAACTGTTAAACTGCAAATATTTTTCATAGAAATGTACCTCACTATTAAGGTTGATTGTGATCAGTTCATCGTTTGGATGTGTAGGGAAATAATTAGCATTTTTTTTACACTAAAATCTAACAAGTGAAAATAAAACGTATAAATTCTAAATCCTGTATAAGAATTAATTTATTCTTAATGTCAAATCAAGGTTAGGTTCTCTTTTAGGTGACCTATAATTTATCAGCAGATTAAATAACATACTAAGCAGGAACATTGCAGAGCAAAGGTGTGTCTGTTCTACCGTGAAATATTGACCCGTGCAATCCTGCTGATGTTTGTACTGTATGTCCAAAGCTCTCAGTCTATCCTTTGAGCCACGCAGGTTACTCAGTGTCAAGTATTAAGTGATACACGCAGTGTCTGCCTCGCTTTCTGCCCCTTGATCCAGCATCTGTCTCAAGAGTGCGTGGCTGTGGAGAAAGACAGAGTCACTATGTGCGATTGCAGGGTGAATCGAGCATGCTCTGGTTAATGTTTAATAGGTGTTCCTACCAGGGAATTACTCAGTGCTACGTTAAAACATTCTGCGAAAAAAAAGACATTTTATACTCTTTGAGAAAACGGGAATAAGATAATCATTTGGTTAAAAGTCAGACACTGTGTTTTGTCTGTTATAGCTTTATTTTTTGTTAAATTTGAGTAAAATATGATGTAATTCTGACCAATAACTATTTAAAAACGTTTCCTTAGTAAAGAAAATCAACTTTCCGTGTCTAGATTTTATTTAAAGTTAAGGGTCAAACAGTAATTGTTTTCTTATGTTCTTTTAGACTTTCAGTTAATATAATGTGGATGAATCTTATTCATCTTGCTCTTTTTAAATATGTAAAAAAAGAAGTGACAACCTGTTAAACAAAGACAGACTCTGAAGACCACTTTGGGACATTTTATTAACGTTGAGGACTGATTTCAGCTAGGAAGGAGATGTAGGAGCTACAAAAACCAAAGCTATGGAATATAACTTGAGACAAGATGGAATCATTGCTTGTTCATACAGAATTAGCATGTAAAACTATGGAGACACTATTTTTTTTAACAAATTATCATCCCTAATGGCATCAAACAATAGCAAATGGAATGTTCTAGCAATACTTAACAACCACTCCTACATCTCCGCTATCAGATCTACAAGATTTATACCTATTATAGAATTATAGGCTATAGAACTCTATGTTAATATAAAACAACTCTTTCAATCTAATCCACTTCTTTATCCTCTTAAAGTCAGTATTGATGACTAAGGAATTTAACTCAGTAAACATTACAAATATTTGTGAACAGTAATTGCTAGTAACATTAAAACTCACATATTAAAACATCTTAAATTACAATGTGCCTTTTTAATGTAAGATACAGAAGGACATAAGATGATTCAACTGTTGCATAATGTTTTTACTAAAGAAAAAACAGAAAAGGTTGATGCTGAAGGTTTTTTTGCAAATAACCTGCTGTTTGCAGTGTTCATGCTGTCTCAGTACAATGATGATTTAACCTAAATTTCTATCCTTTTTAAGGAGTTAACTTAATCAACTTGCTGCCTTAAGTCCCCAATACATCTACTTTGCATATGTTGCATAAATTCAATGCGTTAAAAGAGTTGCTTAGCAAAGGTTTACAGTACCGGTATGTCAAATACCACATAAACTTGTAAAAATATAAACCTAATACTTTTGTTTTTTGCTCACATTTATTTGAATTTTGTGCAAAGTGTAGCTTCTGGCTCCTGTTCTTAGCTTCTATTCCTTCACCTTTCATGGGGTTAGCAGAAAAGGAAAGGAGCTCTGGACTGCTGTGCTAATTCCAGACAGCCGTCAGCCTTATGGACGCCGTTATGCAACAGACACGCAAGTAGAGGGTGCTTGTCATATTGTGACTATTGTAAATGAGAATGTGAATCCCTCCTCCCTCCAGTGGAAATGGCTGTAGCTCTGTGGTATAAGTTCACGTGAAACCAAACATTTGCCCCTTTCTTAAAAAAATTCCCCTTTGTAATCAATTATGTCTTTGTTTTTTTCCTAACCTGAGATTTTCAGTCAATGTAACAAAATGCAGCAAAACAGCTGAATTTACATTTGAATTTCCATGTCTCCTCCTCCATTAGTTCACCATACACTCGCGCCAAATTCCAGACAGTTGGCTGGACTTTCTGGATGCAGACCCACTATTTAAAGGATGGACAGTCCACCCACCCTACCCACTACAGGCTTTAGGACCACCCTTAAAATGGCAGCTCCTCCATGGGAAGGCACAGACGAAGGGATAGTACTTAGGGTTAGTGTTTAGGTGCTGGTTTGGGATTGGGGTATCATGTAGGTTTGTTCAGCTCTGTGACATAGGCTTTGCTGATATGCCCTGTCATGCAAAGGATTGTTGGTAACTATAAACCCGCTGAGAGGGACTTCGGAGAAGTATCCTGCTTCCTCTTCCTACCACCTTCCTTACTATTTGGACGCCACTGCTACTCTCAACCAATGATGCAGTTCCCCTTTGGCCTAAGAGTCCTTACGGATTTGCAGTATTCTGACGGACTCTAAGAATTTTTCTTTTTATAAAGAAAGACTCTCTTTCAAATACTGTTAACAAATCGTCTTAACCTTTGTTTTAGTTAATATTTCCCCCTTGCCTAGATAATCCAAGCATCCCACAGGTGTGGCATATCAAGATGCTGATTAGACAGCATTATTGCCAAGGTGTGCTTCACAAGGCCACTCTAAAATGTGGAGTTTTATCACACAGCACCACCAAAGATTTGTGGGTATTGTGGGTTTTGAGAGAGTTTGTAATTTACAAGATGACTGCCTGAATATCTATATGAGCTGAGAATTATGCATTGACTTCTGTACCACAAACTGTCTTTAAAGGCATTTCAGAACATTTGGCAGATTATCCAACCAGCACCATGAACACCTATAATCTCACTAAAGGAGATGTGTTGTGGTCTAAGCAGATACTGTCTGCGATTCAGAACTCTTTCAATACAGTAAAACCAAACGTTAGATGGGCTTTTTAAGGTGGAAGGCCACAGTCACAACTGTGCACTAAATAAGTTGTCTAATCTGCTTCTTGATATGCCTGCTCTTATTTTAGCCAAGTAATAATGCTCAGAAACACATATTTAAACAGATCTGTGAACAATATTGGAGAAAAACCGAATTGATGCATCTGGGAAATATTTGGAATATTTGGAGTTAAAAATTAAATTTGTTAGTTTCTCCCAGTGCCAGACATGTGGAAATTATTTTTGGGAAGTAGTGACGTCTCACACAATTAACGCTAATTAGAAAACCTAAATAAACTGTTATAGTTATATGCAGAGTCCACTGAAAAAATGACCAGAAAATCTCCTTCTGGAAGTGCTATTCTTGTTTTGTTGTTTTAGGTGCAAATGATGCATTACAATGCGCATCTTTTTAGTGGAAAATACACTGCATTGCACTGTATTAAGTAAATTACTGGCTTATTTAATCTGAGTTTTCTTTAATAAAGATTAGGAAACAATTTAAGAAAATAAGGAATAGCTAAAAAAAAAAGTAGCTAAATTGAAGCACCATGTCAGATCTAAATTACAAGTTCTTATCAACCTCAGTTCCTTTGCAGATCCTGCAGAGAGCCCAAGGAACCAAAATAGTTGGGATTAAAAGTGCAAAAGCACTCTTACCAAAAGATAGTACATAAAAAGACACATGGTTGTCCGAGGAAAATGTCCATCCATCCAAGAGTTGAAGCAAGAACAAAGAAATCATAATGCACCCCATTTTGAAGGCAGCATTTGAGTTCTTCTTGAAGTCACCGTAGAACGGAGATTGCAGTCCGAGTCCGAGCCCTAGCAGACTACCCATGTTACGCAGGAGGCTGGCGAAGGGTGTGGTGTCCATGTGGATCCACTCCGGCCGGATGCACCATTTCTGGGCTTTTTCTATGGTCCAAAGCAAGTCCACTCCAACAATTTTAAGCAGCAGGTAGAAGCCAATAGCGAAAACAGTCATGAAGATGGTGATGATGAGGTATTTGCTCATGCTGGCGTTGTAAATCCACTTCTTTTTGGAAACTATTCCAGCGACAACAATCCCTATAAAGTAACAGAAAATTTGTGTATTTTATCAAACTATCACAAAACTTTCTGTTCTTTACGATAGAGATACAGGAAACCAGCCCACCTGTGATGAACCCTGTTATAACCTGATGTGGGAAATGGGCCGCCATGAAAACCCTGGACATGCAGACAATCAGCACCACCAGAGCCATCAAGGCCCACAAACCTATCTGTAACAACCTGAAAATATTCACACAGAATATAAGTGCCACAAGATTCTAGAGTCGTATTCTTTTTTAAAGAAATTGATCATTGCATGATCAAAAAACTCACCTGTATAGCAAAAAGGGGCATTTTTTTTCTCTTGCAATTGAAAGCAACGCAGTAACCATCACATACCAGACACCAGCTACACCCATAGCATGACCTGAAGGGCTTCCTGGAGCAGGAGATGAAATCCATAATTATGTTTTCATTTTTTTAAATAAATTAGATCAATTAGAAACTTGCCAGTGGCTCAATCGTCCTCTCTGCTGCTGACTTTATATACTATTCATTTTTCTCCCTATATATTTATCCTTTTACTGATAGATAAGTTTGTAAATTGAGATCCTTTATAACCCCACTACAAAATACTGCTTTCATTACATGATAAAAAGGATGAGATATATGTTCTAATCTGCCATTTTAGTAAACATTTAATGGCGTGTTTTATTTAAAAAGGCATACTTTTAAATGCAAATATAATGAAAGTTTAAAAAAAAAAACGTATTTGATCTTTAAGTGATAATCCTAGCATCATGTTTGTGATATCTTTGATATCTTTGCAAATGTTTAGAACATCAACTCTAGTTTCTCACTCCACCTGCATATTTTTTAAAAACTTTTTTGGGGGTTTTTAAGTTCTAATTGAAAAAGTGGAACATAATCAGTAGTAAGCAAAACAGCAAGAGGTGTGCTTCAGTTTTCCAATAAGCATCCTCAAATATTGCAGTTTCTCTTTTTTTGAGATCTGAAAAATTTATTATTTTTTTCAGCTTTTATTGTCATTACACTGTCACAAGTACAGAGAAACGAAATTAACTCTCTATATTTAACCCATCCCGTTTGGGAAGCAGTAGGCTGCCATTGTGCGGCTTTGGGGGAGCAGTGTAGAGTTAAGGGTCTTGTTCAGGGACCCAAAGTGGCTGTCTGTGGGAGTGGGGCTTGAACTCAGAACCTCTGGAACCGAGGCACAATGCCCTAAACCAGGCATCCCCAAAGTCGGTCCTCGAGGGACACCGTCCTGAAGGTTTTTGAGGTTTCTCTGCTCCAGCACAGCTGATTTACATTTATAATTGATTAACAGGCTTTTGCTTAACTGCAGTCATCAGAATCAGCTGTGCTAAAGCAGAGAAACCTCTCAAACCTGCAGGACAGCGGCCCTCGAGGACTGACTTTGGGGATGCTTGCCATAAACTGTAGGTCTTCAACAGGGGGTCCACGGAGGTACTGCATGGGGGTTCCAAAAGTTTCGGTTGATTATACTTTTTTTAAATTTTCCCCCCTGCATATTTTCCAATAATTTAAATGTCTTTAAATCCACATTTACATGAATTCAACACACTGAAGTAAACAGATAAATGGAAACAATGGATCCAATCAGAATCAGAAATACTTTAAGGTGAAATTACTTTCAATACATGACACCATCTGTAATAGAGTGACTATAGGACCAGTTTGATATAACACAATTTCAATATATATAATTAGGGGGTCCCCTCTTCATCTCGCCATCAGTTTCGGGGTCCTTAGCCTGGAAATTGTCGAAGACCCCTGCCCTAAACCACTAGGCCAAAACTCCCCTAGTGCAATTTTTGACCTAAATGTGAATTCTGCTTTAGGTGTTATTAAATCACATCCACTGCAGCAGAACATGCGAGAGGAGGAATATCTTAAATTGAATATCTCTATAAATATCTGAAGATAAAAACTCCTTTAACTGGTCACAAGCAATTAAGTTGTGAACTCATTCATAAATATTATAAATTATATCCATTGAGTGAAGGCCAGGAGATACAGTAGCCTCCTATCAATGATTTACACAAATATTAAGCGCACCTGGAGTTCACTATGTCAGATAAATGTACTAAATCATTTGTTGTTTATTAGGAAGAAGCCTGGCATTCTTTGATCAGCACGTCTATCCTGCACCTTACCTGGTCCAGTCTCACATGTGATTGGAAACTGCTGCAGCGAAGGGGCCTTTCCCGCTCTGTAAAACTGGGTCTCATGAACCCACCAGTACGGCCTCTCCCCAGAAAGAACCCTACAATAAAGAATTGTTCACATCAGTCACAATATTGCTATTGCACCGACAGGATTTCTGGACTACATTTATTTACCATTTCAGCAATAAATTGAGCCAGTCTCCGATGACAGCCACCCAGATAAGCCTGACCCCCGTGTCTCTGCGTATGTAGAACCAGACGGGGAACAGGCAGAAGAACGTGGTGTGCAAATCAGCCACGGCAGAAGCAAGGCTGAAAAGGCCCTCGTACCTGCTGTATCTGGTCTGCAGGTGAATGGCCAGCTCAACCCCCCAGCTGTGAAGGAGATCCATGATATCACAGCGAAGACCTCAGAAGGAGGATGATAGCTGGAATCTGGCCTCCTTTTTCTTATTTGCAGGGACCTGTTACTGCAACGCTCTCTCTCAAACTGTCCTGTCTGCTTGTTCTCTTTGTGATCCGGACTTTACTCAAGGCTAGCAGATTTGTTTGCCTTTGGGACAGTACAGACAGGCAGTTCCTTAACCTTTACACCCGTCCAGAGGCCCCGTCTGTTAAAACCCATCAATAAAGAAGCCAATTTCTCCCCATAGTTACAGGAGAGTTTTTCGTCTCTCAAAGAGTAGAGGACATTTTATTATAAAACCTTTAAAAAAAAAATGTCATAACACAATAAAATATCATCAAAAAACAAAATATATTAGCTGAAGCAGGGGGATTTGTTGAAATGGTTTACATTTCATGCCATTTACTTTTGTACAAATTTTAATACAATTTAAACATCATCCATCCATCCATCCATCCATCCATCCATCCATCCATCCATCCATCCATCCATCCATCCATCCATCCATCCATCCATCCATCCATCCATCCATCCATCCATCCATCCATCCATCCATCTTGTTCCGCTTATCCGGGGTCAGGTCGCGGGGGTAGCAGCTTCATTAGGGAGACCCAGACGTTCTTTTTCTCCCCAGCCACTTGGGCCAGCTCCTCCGGGGGAATCCCAAGGCGCTCCCAGGCCAGCTGAGAAACACAGTCCCTCCAGCATGTCCTAGGTCTCCCACTGGATCTCCTCCCGGTTGGAGGTGCCAGGGAGACCTCTAGGAGGCATCCTAACCAGATGCCCGAGCCACCTCAACTGGCTCCTCTCGATGTGGAGGAGCAGTGGCTCTACTCTGAGTCCTACCCGGATGACTGAGCACCTCAGTCTATCTCTAAGGGAGAGCCCAGACACACTACGGAGAAAAGTAATTTCAGCCGATTGTGTCCGGGACCTTGTTTTTTCAGTCATAATGATAATGACCCAAAGATCATGACCATAGATGAGGGTAGGAACATGGATCGATGATAATTGAGAGCTTTGGTTTTTGGCTCAGCTCTCTCTTTACCAGAACTTAAACATCAAATAATAAAAAATTTAAAAAAATAACAAACTATCACCGCACTGACCCCCACCCAACTCGCCACAGTCATACCTACAACCCACAAAAAAAGAATAAATGAAAAAAATTATATATATATATATATATATATATATATATATATATATTATATATATATATATATATATATATATATTATATATATATATATATATATATATATATATATATATATATATATATATATATATATATATATATATATATATATATATATATATATATATATATATATATATTAATTTACATGTCCAGCATTTGATAGGTTTCAATGGATAGGGGAAGCAACGGCCTCCAAAATGTTTTTTTTTTTTATTTAATGCGAAAACAACAACCAACAATTGTTTAAAGGAGCTCACTCATTCCCTGGTTATATTTGGAGGTGGAAAAGTCTGCAAGGTTATAAAATGTCAGTCCTTTCAACATAATAAAATCTATTCCAGGATGAACAGGCAGTTCGTTTAAAAAGAAATGTGAGAACTGATCCATCTGAAACATCTAGAATTTAACTGAAAAAGGTAATTTAATTCAGTAAATTAATTAGACAAAGTCATACATAGATGCTTAAACAGGAAGTGATACATTTAAAAGGTTTTTCTGTTTATTTGCTGTTTAGTTAAATAAACTTTAGATTCAAGAAATTCTAGAGATTCAGGACACAACATCCACAGGATGCCTCCACAGATTTATGTGGAACCTTCTACTACTGCATCCAAGCATTGTGGTATGAAGGTGATGAGCCTGGGACTCTGCTGGGATGTTAGGGAAGCATTGTTTGCTTTTAATAGCAGCCTTTCTGGATATGCTCTGCTTAAGGTAGCTTGACATTGAGGTGGCTGTATGATTTGGATTGTGATGTTCTTTTAGGATAACTGAAGTTCCTGAGTTTCTTTTTTTTTTCTTCTTTTTTTTATCCTCTGGTGCTGGATATTTTTGGACATTTGTTAAGTTATATAACCATTGCAACAACAGCAAGTTGTTTTTTTTAACCCTTCGTACCACCTGAGTTGAAAAAGAAGCCCAGAGGGTGCAGAACTGGAGTAAGGAGAAGAGAGAGGAGCAGGAAATTCAAGCCATCTCTTCCATCAACCACTAACCCTAGCAATCTATAATAATAGGAATGCAGTATTATGTGTTTTACTGATGTCTGTAGGATCATATCCTGGACTTAAGTGTCCAGGTGTTCAGGCTTTCTGACCATATGAGCGGCAGATTAAAAAAGGCAGGAAAACTCAAAGGAAGTGGTTTGACAGTGCTTGTAAATAACTGATGGGGTCGTCCACAACATAATACTCTGAGTATGTCGTTGCAATCCATATATTGAGCTTTTGGCTGTTGGTTTATGTCCCTGTTATTTGAGCAGATATTAACCAGTTTTGTTTTGGTAACTTTAATTAGCTGCATCGGATCTACGCTGGAACGTCTGACAGAACTTCTCAGTCCCAACAACATCTTCATGGGATTAAATATGATCTTATTATTTCACAAATTTAATCCCAATGTAAGAGAATTGAAAACCTATTTGTTTAGGAAAGCATTTGAATTCTAGTAGATTAAGGGTTATTTTATGACCATGTCTCTTGACCATAAATGTAATCTTTTTATTTGTATTATAATTTTGTGAAGCACTTTGTGACCTCTATGTCTGTGAAAGGTGCTATATAGAAAAACATTACTTACTTACTTACAAATTAAGTTTGTTTAAAGGAATAGTACACCCAAAACATGATTAGCCTTCATTTTCTACTCACCCCCATGCTGAACAACACTCTGGAGTACTTTTTTGATATCTCAAATGCATCTGGAGATCTGGGAGGCTTCTTGCTGTCTGCTGACATTCAAATAATGGAGGTCTATGGTGCCCGAGAAAGAAAGGTCCATAAAAGTCCACAAAAAACGTGTCAATATTCCTCCATACGCTCGTCCAATGTATTCCAAGTGTCCTGAGTGGGTAGCATCCAGAATTTACTCGAAACGAAGTCATTTAGAATGTTTTTAGAGCATAAACAGTAGTGTATAGGATTTCCTGAAAGCGCGCACATGCGCGTTCACGACGCTACGGAAGCCGGCAGACCACACCAGATGAAAGTGCGCATTCAGCGTCTGCTCTGCCGATAATGCAAGCGTAGAAGAAGAAATGTGCTGTTTACCTGTGCAAAGAAAGAAACAACGAAAGAAAAATGTCTGAGGACTTCAGTGTTGAGGAAGAGCATGACTTCTTTGCCGAGCTGAATGCGCTGGTTTGGTCTGCCGGCTTCCGTAGCGCCGTGAACGCGAATGTGCGCACTTTCAGGAAATTCTATACACTACTGTTTATGCTCTAAAAACATTCTAAATGACTTCGTTTCGAGTAAATTCTGGATGCTACCCACTCAGGACACTTGGAATACATTGGACGAGCAGTATGGAGGAATATTGACACGTTTTTTGTGGACTTTTATGGACCTTTCTGCCTCGGGCACCATAGACCTCCATTATTTGAATGTCAGCAGACAGCAAGAAGCCTCCCAGATCTCCAGATGCATTTGAGATATCAAAAAAGTACTCCAGAGTGTTGTACAGCATGGGGGTGAGTAGAAAATGAAGGCTAATCATGTTTTGGGTGTACTATTCCTTTAATGGGGTAACTTCTCTGTATACTTATTTAGACAATATAGACCTTTTGAAAAAGAAGAACTTTGATAATAGGAGGCGGGTTCCTTGGTTCAATACACAGCTTTGCACTTTGAAGCATAATGCTTGGAAACAGGAGAGAAAATTCAGCATTATATTCCTAGGGACTGTGCTAAATTTGGAAAAATAGTCTACTAATATGGCCCTTTCTTAGAACTGGAGCAGTATATTTAGCTTTATGTTGGAGGATAATAAGTATAACCTTTTATTTCATTTTATTACAGTTGCCAAACTCACACAAAGCCATGGCTCTGTTGAACCCTCCATTCCCCCTGCTCTTAGGAGCAGTGATTTTATTGAATTCTTTATCAATATGATTGGTTCTATTACAAATAGGATCATTGGGACCCCTCCAAATATAACCAGAGGTAACCATTGAACCTAAACTGTGTCTGGACTGTTTCTATCCAGGTGAGCTTTCAGAGTTAGCAACATTATTAGCTTCTTCTATGCCTTCAACTTGAATATAAGATCAAATTCCTATGAAGTTATTTAAGAAAGTATTCCCTCTGATTTCCTCCTCCATTTTAGATATGATTAATCTATCTGTTACAGTGAATGTACTGCAGGCTTTAACGGTAGCTGTAACCTTTTCTTAAAGGGGTCATAGAATGCAAAACCGAGTTTCCATTGTCATAGATGAATAACGATAGTTCAGTAGGTGAAATGGACGTACAGAGTAGTTCAAACCCCATCGACAAAAAGAGGACGTCTGGTCACCCTACCATATCAACAATCTCGATGTTTCAGTGAGTGAGTGCTTGTTGCTATGATGCGTCTTTGCTCAGCAGCTTCGCTCGTTGTAAACCAACCAATCAGTGCACAGCTCATCTAAACATTAATGAGCATACCATAAAAGGAAGAAAACCTGTTGTTTCATTCTAGGGCTTTTAACCAGGCTTGCATTTGGGCTCATAGAACAGTAAATATGCCATTTTAAGCCCAGCCAATGTTACACACCCTATTTGGAGACCTTAAGGGCCAGCATCAAATACCCTATAGAATCATTCGATGACCCCGCTAAGAAAACCTCTCTTGGTCATTTATACTGTAGACCTAAATTTTATCCTTCTTTCTTGATTAAAATTCTTTAGAAAATAGTTTTTAAAGTGGCTACTTACACAGTAATGACCTTTTTGAAGAGTTTCATCATCGCTCTGAAACAGGTCTGGTAAAAGTCACCAATGACATCCTCATGGCTTCAGGTAATCGACGTGAATCTGTACTGAAGAGTCAAACACAGACTGTAAGCGAAGGAGCATCGAGGTGGAGCATGTCCTGCAACTCAATGACTCGATGCAAGTTGGTTTTCTTTAATATACAATTTGAAACTAATTTGCCTGTATGATCTGATTG